CTTCAAATCTCCTTGGGCCAACACTTCATGTGCCTTTCTTTTTCCAACACTTGACGTGCATTTGTACTCTGTAGACATGTCACAGATGCTTGTTAATCACACAAATGAAAAAAGAAACAACTACTTTTCATGCATTGTTTAAGGTCTGGCTCAGATACCACTTCTTCCAGGAAGCCTTCCCTAGTCACCCCTCTCTGAGCCCACAGGCCCTGTACTCTCATCACAGTACTTACACCTACCATCTGTGATTATCAGTATCTACTCCATCAGCTATGATTTCTCTGGGTATTGCCAAGAGTTGGAAGGACACCCAGCACAGAGCAGTGAATGGACACCAGTGTAGTTAGCATCGGGTCTAAACCATGCCTAGTGGGTTCAGGTTCCTCCAGGCCCAGGGAGGTAGGAGGCAGGTGCAATCACAGCCACTTTCCAGATGAGGAAGGTGAGGCTTGGAGAAGCTCAGCATCTCACCTGAGGCACCCAACTTCTCACTGGGGGTGGGGGCTGGTGACCCCACCTCTCCAGCTCTCCCCCACCCCGAACTTTGCTCCCACCCTCCTCAGGGCTGAAGGGCACCCACAGAGCAGAGCACATTCTGGATCTTGGGGAGCAGGAGAAGGTTCCGGGGAAGGCTGGGTGGAGTGGGAGGTGGGCAGTGTCTCCAGCACCCTGGTGCCCTCAGGACCCCAGCAGGGAGGGGGAGGTGATCCTCGGGGAAATTCCACGTGAGCACACATGTGTCAGCCCCAGATCCCTTTGACAACGCTGGGAAGAGGCAGTCATGGAAGACGCCGCCTATCAGTGCCCTCCCCCGCCGCACCCCAGAGCAAAGGGCTGGCCCGCCTCAGGTGGCTGGGTTCACGGTATACTCTGCCCTCTCTCACCTCTGTTGTGGGAGAGTAGGAGGGAGAAAAGAACACGTTCGCTGAGGGGAAAGCGCAGAAGATACTAAGAAGCTTCAGCGCAGGGAGACGTGACGGGGTCGGGGAGCCCATGGCAGGGAGGGGCACACACGGCCACGTCTCTGGAGGGGCCCCACCAGGTAACCAGGGCCTTGTCATTTGCCCGGCCAGCTCCCCCCACCCTGCCTCCTGCTGAGAGCTGTGCCTTTCTCAGGGGGGTTCCATGCTGCGAGCAGAGCTGGGAAGTGGGGACAAGGAAACAGGCCCCACGGAGGCTGGAGAGCCAAGGGGAGGGGCCCCCTTTGCTGTGGAGACTCGAGATCTGGATGAGACCATGAGAAAACAAGCAAAATTGGGGACTTCCCTGGTGGTCCAGTGGTTGAGAATCCACCATCCAATGCAGGGGGACAAGGGTTCCCTGGCCAGGGAACTAAGATCCCACAGGCCATGGGGCACCAAGCCCACATGTCACAACCAAAGGAGCCCATACACTGCAACAAGAGCTCCTGCCTGCCTCAACTAAGACTGGACACAGCTAAAAATAAGTAAATATGTGCATCTATAAAAGAAAACAAGTGAAACTGCAAATGAAGCTTATTTCCATGATAAAAGCAAAGTGGAGGGAGGGAATGAGAGGCAACTCTGAGATCTAAGGTTGGCAGCGGGGCTGCAGTGGATGGCCTGGGAGGGCTTCTGGATGGAGTCACTGCAGGATGCAAAAGACACGGGGAGGAGAGAGAATTCTGAGAAACCATGGGCTCCCCTGGTGGCTCAGCAGTATAGAGTCTGCCTGCCAATGCAGTAGACACAGGCTTGAGTCCTGGATCCAGAAGATCCCCTGGAAAAGGAAATGGCAACCCATGCCTTACCTGGAAGGCAAGGAAAACCTTACCTGGAAACCCCCATGACAGAGGAGGCTGGCAGGCTACAGTCCAGAGTCGCAAAGAACTGGACACGACTGAGCAGCTAAACACACACGCAAATACAACTGTGGGCTGAGGAGTGGGTTCCTCCTGACGCTTGAGAGAAATGAAAAGTGAAAACGTGGCTTCCTTCCAACCTTCCAAATCCTTTTTGGTGGATGGGCCACACCCCTCTATGATGCTCTCTGGACTGGGCCACCTGGAACCTCGGTTCTTATTAGGGTTCCATCCGCAAAGCCCCTTTCACAACAAGGAAATGATCTAATCCCCATCAAGAGAGAGGGGCAGGGGCTGTAGTCACCCCACATCAGAGATGAGGAAACTGAGGTGCAAAGAGGTCATGTGAGTTGCCCAAGGTCACGACACTAAAAGGGGCTGAGTCAGGACAAATCCTTGCGTTTTCCTGACTCCAAATCCCCAATCTCTTTTCTCTCTCCAGCTCTGCCCCAGGAGAAGGATCCTATGACACTGAATCGTCTCTTTTTCAGGGTTTAATGTTTCGGGCCAGATCTGAGTGAGGTTTGCCATTTCCTCCAAAATTTGGCCTGACCTCAGGGCACCACTGCCCGGTCACTGGCCAGAATGCCCTGTTGGCAGCTGTGGGCTGGTGGACAGGCTGCTCTTGGCACGACGCAGTGGAAACTCAGACAACTCAAGAAAACTCTATTTGTCTTTGTGGTCAAAACACACAGGACAGTTTTACAGATGTCAAATAGGATGATGGCCAGTGCTGGCACAGATGGAGAATGGGCACGGCTGCTCTGCATTAGTGGAGTTTTAAACCTGTATGACCTTCAGGAGAGCAGTCTGGCACCATGAATCCCATGTCTTAAAAACGCAAAGCCTTTGACCCAGCAAGTCCACTTCTAGGAACACAGCCCAAGGAAACAGTCTACTGGATACTACACTGTTCTCATTGCCACAGTGACCGACCTCAGACTGAGCTCCTACGGGGTCAAGGGAGCTCACGTCTGACAGCCTGACTGGAGCTGGTTCACTGGAGCAGCTGTTCTTCTCCAGCCTTGTTCTGCTTCCCCCGTAAATGCAAGAGCATTTTGACTATATTGAAAATTAGCATCTAATCATGCATACATATTTCTATGTATTTCATGGCTTGGCTTTCAATTCCAAAAGCAATAAAACTTTCAGTCTAGAGGGCACTTAGGGCTCTTCTAGTCCAACATTCCCCAAAGTGGGAGGTGAAAGGGTAGGTGGAGTGGATGCCTGTATGCTTGGATAAGCTCGGGGAAATGGGCACATGCTTCCTTGCAGGCTTTCTCAGAGCCTTTTTGCTTGATGGTGGGTACTGCAGTCTACACGAGACAGAAAGGGGTGGCAGTGTCAGACTCCTGTAACAAACGACCACAAACTGGGTGATGGCAAACAGCAGCAGGATCCCGTCTCACACTTCTGGAAGCCAGACGTCTAAAGTCAAGGTGTCAGCGGGGCCAGGCTCTCTCTGAAGACTCTCAGGGGGAACCCTTCCTGCCTCTTCCACCTTTGGATGGACACAGGTGTCCTTGGCTTGTGGCTGTATCTTTCCCACCTCTGCCTTCGTCTTCACGTGTCTTCACTCAGTGTGTATCAGTTCAGTTCAGTCGCTCAATCGTGTCTGACTCTTTGTGACCCCACGGATTGCAGCATGCCAGACTTCCCTGTCCATCACCAACTCCCGGAATTTACTCAAACTCAAACTCATGACTCACTCAAGTCAGTGATGCCATCCAACCATCTCATCCTCTGTTGTCCCCTTCTCCTCCTACTTCAATCTTTCCCAGCATCAGGATCTTTTCCAATGAGTCAGCTCTTTGCATCAGGTGGCCAAAGTATTGGAGTTTCAACTTCAGCATCAGTCCTTCCAATGAATATTCAGTTCTGACTTCCTTTAGGATGGACTGGTTGGATCTCCTTGCAGTCCAAGGGACTCTCAACAGTCTTCTCCAACACCACAGTTCAAAAGCATCAATTCTTCGGTGCTCAGCTTTCTTTATAGTCCAGCTCTCACATCTATACATCTATACATGACCACTGGAAAAACCATAGCTTTGACTAGACCATGTGTGTCACTGTGCCTAAATTCCCCTTTTCTTCGAAAGACCCCAGCCACCTGACTCGAGTCTGACTTCATTCTAACTTCATCATGTCTGCAAAGACCCTAATACGGTCACACTCACAGGTCCACATGGATGTGAATCGGGGGGTTGCTTTTCGCTGCAGCATAGATGGAAGCTTCAGAAGGGGTTTGGTGAGGAGCTGACCGATGTCAAGTTCTCCCAGCATCCCCCAACCTGCTGTGCTGGGAGAGTGGGGGTGAGGGTGGGCTCAGGGGGACAGCAAGTACAGTGGGGAGACCACTGTGCCATCCAGACAAGAGGAGATGGCAGCTCAGACCAGGCGGAGCCAGTGCAGGTGGTGAAGCGGGTGGCCTGGGGCGTCCCTTTGAAGGTGGAGTAAAAGGTAACTCTGCATTTGGACGTGAAATGGGAGAAAATGAGGCATCAAGGGGGAGCTCCAGGTTTTAGCCGAAGATACCAGGACAGCGGAGTTACCATTAGAGCAGAGCAAAGAGCCAACTCGTTTCCGGGCACACTCAGGCAGACTGACGTGGACTAGGATGGAGGGACTGGTCCTTCAGGCAGGCATGGACCTGGGCGCAGAGTCCCCCCTGCCCCACCCCGTGAAATCAGTCCTCTCTGTGTTTCCAGGAGCAAGTCCAGGACCGCCGTGTATACACTGGCCTCAATGCCTCCCGCCAGAGTCACCTCCTGACGCTCCTGCCCCACTCACACTCCCGCTTTCTGTGCACCCACCACCTCCCTGTCAACACGGGAGGCTGCAGATCCTGGGGCCTCGGTGTCCTCTGCCAGGGCTCACAGGTGGTCTTGTGGTTCTGGGGGAGGGGCAGGACCCTGCCCACACCTACCAGCCCCAGGGGGCCTTCCCAGCAGCTGGGGTGTGCCCGGGGTGTCCTAGGGAGGGGGCACCGCCGTGGGCACTGCCAGCAGACAACAGAGGCTGCCCAGGGCAGGAGAGGTCCCTTAGGTGGGGACTCTTGTGGCTTTCGGTGACTGTGCGTCTCAGGCTGGGCTGACCAGCTGGGCTCGGCAAATCCTGCGGGCACAACCTCAGAACTGGAGTCCGCTTCTGTTTCATCAGGGCCGAGGGCGGTTCACACTCATGAAAAAGGGTCTTGCTGCCCAGGCTGAAGGCACTCGCCAGCCGGCCGCACCACAGAGTCACTTCTCAGGTTCGCCACAAAGCAGGTTAGGGAGCCACAGTCCACTGTCCTAATTTGAGCTCTGAAATGTCTGTGGACCTCTCCCTTTTGCCGGGAATTCAAAGGACCTGGTCCAACATCTGGGCAAAAAGGAGGCTGGCCCAAATTCCAGGCAACCGCTTGGCCTGGGCAGCAGAAGACGTGGCGATGAACTGTGACGAATTCCTCAGGCAAGGGGTAGAGCCCTCGGAGCCTCTGTTTTCCCGTCTGTAAAGTGGGATCTCGCTCCCGCATGTTCTGAGGGTGGGATGGCCCTGCGGCCTCCAGGCCCTGCTCTGTGGAGAAGCCTGGGCGAGGGTGGAGGCCGGATTCTGAGCCCTCCTGCCTCCACTGCAGCCCTTCCTGTCTCAGCCAGAACAACTCTGGTCAGTCTTCCAACTAAAAGCTCCCCGCCAGGAGGTGCAAAACCTACTGGCCAGTGGTTCGGGATCTCATGGCTCTGATTCCTGTCCAGGGCCCTCTGGGTTGTGGTCAGAGTCATCTAGGACCTGACTGTCCACCTTCCTTTCTAGCTGTGCTTCTCTCTTATCAGTCATGCGCTGCTGGGTGAGCTGCCAATCACAGGGCCCCACCACTGAGCCTACATGTGATTCAGGCCTGGCCAATCAAAGAACTCCTGCCCTCTAGCCACAGGGATAGGACCAAGGCTTAGTCATGTGACTAAGACTGGCCAATCAAGAGTCTTCCCTGGACCACCGATATTCTGAAACAGGAAAAGAGACACGATCCCTTCTCTTTTTTCATCAAGCTGGAGGACCTAAGCCTGAGTTCACATCAGCACCATGTTTCTCACTGCTGGGAGAAAACCTGTTTACTCTCAGAGAAAATGAGGTCCTCATTTTCAATGGGGAGAGTCAAGAAAGCTCACTTGGCAGCAAAGTCCCCGGAGTGGATCTTTAAGCTTCTCAGGGGTTAATGTAAGTAAGAACTTTGCTTTTGTTTATTTATTTAGTGGTGTCCTTCTCTGAGAAACCAAATACAGTTTTCAGCATCCAGACAGCACTTGAGACAGTTCAAGGGATACAGAGAGGGCAGGCAGGAAGAGCAAGCATAGGGCTGAGCCAGTTTTAAAGGGACTTGACAACTGGCCAAGAAATAGCCATGCTCTAACCCTCTTGATGGCAGGAAGACTCTGAGGGTTTAGGTACCCCTCCAAAATCACACACAGGGTGTCTGAAGCACTCTTTTAACTCCAGAGCCCATGTCCCCAGACTTTTGAATTTCGTAGAAATTAGAAAAATCTTTTGAGAACTAAAAAGAATCAATAAAGTTCCACAGCCATCCCTGACCAGCATCCCTTCATAAAATGGTAACTTAACCCTCAGCAATAGAGGAAGGACATGAGCTGTGAGCAAAGGTCAGTCCTCTTGTTTGCATTTTGTTCAGTTTGGAGGGACACTTGGTGATTTTCTCACGTTTCCTCAAAGCACCGACTGCTGGAAATGGGCATGAGCAGGCAGCGGGTGTGCAAGTATCCTGGGGCTGCTGTAACCAAGCACCACAAACTAGAGGACTTTGAAACAGCCGAAATGGGGCTTCCTTGGTGGCTCGGTGATAAGGAATCTGATTGCCAAAGCAGGAGACACAGGTTCAATCCCTGATCCAGGAAGAACCCATGTGCCTGGGAGCAACTAAGACTGCGCACCACAACTACAGAGCCTATGCTCTAGCGCCCGGAGCTGCAGCTATGGAGACTGCACCCTGCAACTACTGCAGCCCAAGTGCCCAGAGCTGGCGCTCCACGAGAGAAGCCCCTGCAGTGAGAAACCTGGGCACAGCAGCCAGCGAGCAGCCCCTCTCCCTGCGGCCAGCGATGGTGGCCCAGCACAGCCAAAAGTGAGTGAGATTAGTGAAAACCAAGCAAGCAAGCAAGCAAGACCCAGCAGAAACGTACAGTCCAGAGCCCTAGAGTCTAAAGTCCAGGTGTCAGAGACTTCCCTGGTCGCCCAGTGTCAAAGATTCTGTGCTCCCCCCCAATGAAGGTGCCCTAGGTTTGACTCCTGATCAGGGAACTAGATCCCACATGTCGCAACTAAGACCCAGCACAGTCAAACAACAAAAATATAAAATCAAATTAAGGTGTCTGCAAGGCCAAGGGCTCTCTGAAGGCCCCAGGGAGGATTCTGTGCCTTGTACAAGAGCCACTCCCATCTCTGCCTCCATCTTACATGGCCTCTCCCAGGTGGTCTGTGTCTAAATTCCCTTCTTCCACCTGACTGGATAATGGGGTGAAGCACTGGCTTAAGGTGAGAATAAACTGATATTCTGAGTCATTAACAACAGTAGGGAAGAAAGTGTTTGAGCCAGCTTCAAGTGGGGTTGGAAAGATGAGTTTTGCTTTGGATATGTTTGTTATGTTTGCAATGACTGTAATACAAGTATTTGTGATTATATCCTGTAAACAATTATGAATGTTAAGCCTGAACAGATTTGGTCTTAAGGTCTGTAGAGATACTTAAGGAAAATAATAAAAATGAACTGCTTTAAAAATAAATAAGTCAGTAAATTCCCCTCTTCTTATAAGGACACCAGGCATTAGATCAGGGCCACCATAACCCAGTAAGAACCTATCTTAACTTGATGACATCTGCAAAGACCCTGTTCCTAAACATAAGGTCACATTCACAGGTTCTGAGGGGCAAGACTGGCATAGATCTTTCTAAGGGACACCATTCAGGCTGGCTGAGCAGGCCAGCATTACTGGGCACCTCCACCCCCGAGGCCCTTCCCATGCTGATAGCAAAGCGTGAGAAAGATGGATCTGAGGGATGGTGCCCTCCCAGCTTGGGGAGAAGGGCTGGACCACCAGGGACAGCTGGGGACCCCTGGGCAGGGCCAGCTTCCCTCACACATTTCTGTCCCAAGGAGTAACTGTCTGGAGGGCAGCCAGTTGCCAGCTGGCAAAGCCAGGCTAAGACATGGACCTTCAGTGCTGGGCCAGGGCTGGGCTATGACCTGGGCAGCTTCCTGGGGAAGAAGCTCAAAGCCTCGCCCCAGGCCAGGAAACCGGCCCCGCCAAGGGGCAGATTCACAGTGGAGGGATTCACACCTTGGCCTTTCGGATGGCAGGAGGACTTGACTCTGCCATGAGGGCCCCTCTGTGCCCTCCCAGCACGAGTGTAGAGACACGGCAGAAGCCACCACCTGGCCTGACCTCAACCCTCTGGATGCAGACCAGAGTTTGCTCACAGGCTCCCTGGAGGCCAACGCTGCAGGGGGGACTTGAGTCAACCGAAACTACACGCTTCTGAGAGAGGGGTGGTAACCAGCCTGAGGTCATAAAGCCATCATTCAGTGCCAGCGTGAGAGACCTGCCTCCCAGTTCTGCCAACGCGAGCCTTTTACCCACTGAGATGGTTCTGTGAGGGGAGGTTTTTGCCCCTGGGAACCAGGGTTGATTTATAATGGTTCTACAGTGTCGTCAGGAAGAAAGTGTCATCCACTTCACAGTCAGGCCTGCTGGACACCTGATCTTTGGGAAAAGGAGAGAGAGAGAAGCAGCTCTGACTGAACACCTACTGTGCACCATGTGCTTCAAGTTCCCATTCCCACCATCTTACCTGTGAGTGGCAGAAGGCCCAGGGCAGCTGGAGCCATCCCGGGGTTCCCATCCCCTCTCACGCCATCCCAGCGTGTCAGCTTACCCCGCTGAGTCTCAGTTGACTCACCTGTAAAAAGACCATGGGCGCAGTGTCACAGGTGGTCACTAGGATTAGGGGTCCCATCCCAGGAACAGGCACATAGTAGGTGCTCAAGAAAGGTGATGTCCGCTAATTATTAGAGAATGCAGATCCCAACGACAGTGATTTCTCACACCGGTCAGAACAGCCATCATTAAAAAGTCTACAAAGAGGACTTCCCCTGGTGGCGCAGTGGATAAGGATCTGTCTGCCAACGCAGGGAACATGGGTTTGATCCGTGGGCTAGGAAGATTTCACATGCCGAGGAGCAACTAAACCCATGCTCTAGAGCCTGTGCTCCACAACAAGAGAAGCCACCACAATGAGACGCCCGAGCACCGCAGCAAAGAGCAGCCCCTGTTCGCTGCAACGAGAGAAAAGCCCGCACACAGCAACAAAGACCCAGTGCAACTAAAAAAAAAAAAGTCTACAAATAACAAATGCTGGAGAGGGTGTGGAGAAAAGGGCACCCTTCTACATTGCTGGTGAGAATGTAAACTGGTGCAGGCGCTATGGAAAACAGCATGAAGGTTTCTAAAAAAAAAAAACTAAAAGTAGAGCCGCCATATTATCCAGTAATCCCACTCCTGGGTACATGTCTGGGGAAAACTGTAACTGGAAAAGATACAGGTACCCCTATGTTCACTATTTATATTAGCCAAGACATGAAAGCAATCTAAACGTCCATCAACAGATGAACAGATAAAGAAGATGTGGTACATGTATACAATGGAAATATTACTCAGCCATAAGTAATAGTCACGATGAAATAATGCCACTGCATTAACATGTATGGACATAGAGATTATCATAGTGAGTGAAGTAAGCCAGAGACAAATATCATATGATATCACTTATATGTGGAATTGAAAATATGACACAAATGATCTTATCTACAAAACAGAAACAGACACACAGACAAAGAGAACAGACTAGTGTTTGCCAAGGGGGAAGGGAGGCGGGAGAGGGATGGAGTGGGAGTTTGGGGTTAACAGATGCAAACAATTACATGGAGAATGGATAAACAGGTCCTACTGTATAGCATAGGGAACTATATTCAATATCCTGTGATAAAGCATAATGGAAAAGAATATGAACAAGAATGTATGTAGATGTATAACAGAAACACTTTGCTATACAGTAGAAGTTAACACGACACTAAGTCAACTATACTTCAATGACTTTCTTTTTTTAATGAAGAAAGATGGTGTTTTAACTTTCCACTGCTAATGGAATACTTTTCTGTAAACTTTACCGCTTCAACAGCACATGCTCAGTATCTGCTGTCTGGGGGTCAGAAACTTAACACGGGTCTCACTGAGTCAAACTGAGCTGTCAGTGGGGCCCCTGAGGTTCTAGGGACAAACTGTTCTCGCCCCTTCCAGCATCCAGCAGTGGCCCCTCTTTCTTGGCTCATGGTCCTGTCTCCATCACCAAAGCCAGTGACCCTGCATCTTGGACCCATCTCCATTGCCTCCTCTTTCTCTGACCACAGCTGGGAAAGGGACTCTGATTTCAAGGACTTGTGATTCCACAGTGCCCACCGGGATCACCCAGGATCATCCCGCATGACAAGGCCCTTCACTCAATCACGCTGGCCAAGTCCCTTCTGCCACGTCAGGTCACACACATGCAGGTTCCAGGAACCAGGGCGAGGGCGTCTTGGCTGGGGTGGGGGCACGCAGGGGTGGGCGGTACTCTGCTGACCATAGGTGAGCCGAGTTGAACTCCATCGAGCAAGGGAAACCTGGGCCAGTCCTGGCAGTTCTTCCTGAAAGAAGAGGATTCCACTAAACCCGGCTCACTCAAGGGCCATTTCCCACCCCTGCTGTTTTTGACTCTCTTCAAAGAAGCTCTGTCTAGCCAAGGAGACGGGGTCAGGGCTGCCAAACCTTTGCTTCAAAATAAACCTACTTGGAAATTTCCACCGGACCAGGCCCTTTCCCCTCTCCCAGACCTGCCCAAAATCCCAGACCAAGCAGGGCATCTTATGGAAGGACCATTAGACTCCAAGTTCTCCTGAGAAGGTTTTTGTTGTTGTTTGGGTGTTTTCTTTTCTTTGGTTTGTTTTCCCCATCAAACTAAACAGCACCAGGCACGCTGTTACACAGGAAGAATGAACTGGTTAGGACATCACCCTCAACTTAGGAGAGGGTTTTACAGTTCTAATAGTCACAAGGACCTCATCTGTTCCCCCACCCAGCTTGTATCCTCCAGGGTCCCTCCTTGCAGCCTTCAAAGAGCACACAGTTATTTCACAAGCTCCACACGTTTACAGGGAGTGTATTTTATGCCGACAGAGGCAGGCACATATATCCCACTTGCCTAACACCCAGCATCTTTTGATTTGAATGGATTCATGCAGGAAGTCACTATTTACGATGGGCTCAGCATTAGATGTTTTGCATGGAAGACGTACACTTGTTTTGGATTTCCAACAGGTTCACATGTCATCTTATGAATTCCCTACCCCAACAATTCAGGGGTCCCCAATTTCCTGATGAGGAAACAGGAGTGGGAGAGGGAGGGGACTTGGGCCCTGTCAGTTAGCTGATAAGTGGCAGGGCTGGGTTTGAGGCTGGGTCCTCTGACTTCAGATCATCCCAGTTGACTGTGGCCACACTCACTTCAATTGTACCTGAGTTTATGCTAATGAGGTGACTCCTGGTGCCCCCAGAGAGCTTCAGCATGGGGGCTGATTGTGGGGGTCCAACCATCTGATTAGAGGGCTGAAACTTGCAGCGCCATCCCCAACCTCCAGGGAGGTGACTGGGGAAACACCAGTGGCAAATGATTTACTCAGCCATGTCTATATAATGGAACCTCCATGAAAACCCTTCTGGGTTGGTGAACACATTCATGTGTCGAGAGGTTGTGCAACAAAGATCAACAAAGATCAGACCCCAAACCCCATGGGGACAAAAGGCCTGAGCCCATTCCAGACCTTCCACTATGTACATTTTTTTCATCAGTATCCTTTACAATAAATGTAAAGAATTCATATTTACGATAATAATAAATGTAAAGAGGGAATTCCCTGGTAGTCCAGTCATTAAGACTCCATGCTTTCACTGCTGAGGGCTCAGGTTCAATCCCAGGTCAGGGAACTAAGATCCCAGAAACCACGTGGTTTGGCTAAAAAAAGTAAACATGAGGAAAGTATTTCCCTGAGTTCTAAGAGCCATCATAGCAAGCTATTGAATGGAGAAGGGGACTTCTTGATTTGTAGCCAAACCAGAAAGAAGTGGGTGTCACCTGGGGACTCACCACTTGTGACTGTCATCGAAGTGGAGGCAGTCTTCTGGGACTGAGCCCTTCACTTGTGGGGTGAAGCCCGTCACCTGTGGGGTCTGCTCTGATTCCTGGTAGTTAAGTGTTAGAAGTGAATTAAGTTGTAGGACATCCACTTGGTGTCCATAAAGAATGACAGAATTGTTTGTTGTGAAAAATCCACATAATTGGTGTCATAAATGTTATGCATGAAAAATAGACCTTAGTAGTAGCTATATTCATTCACACGTTAACTCATTCAACGTTTAACAAGTTGCTTAAGTCAACTCTGCACTGTGATAAGTGATGAGCAAGAAAGGCGCATCCTGAACTCACAGAGACGGGACGCACAGCCTCCAGATCATGGTCTCTCCACATGCTGAGCCCAGGACTGCATGATTTACCGACAGAAACAGCAGAGAGTCTGAGTCAATTGTGTAGGGTGGGGTCACTGCACTGGTAACTTAGAATTCTCCTTTCAAATTTAGTTATATACCAGGATGAATAATGGCCCCCCGCATCGGATCAGGTCCCGATCCATGGAACCTATAAATGTTACCTTCTACAGCAAAGAATTGCAGATGTAACTAAGGATCCCAAGATGAGAAAAGTATCCTGAGTTATCTGGTGGGTTTAAATGCTATCGCATGCGGGTTTCCCTGGTGGTCCAGTGGCTAAGACTCCACTCTCCCAATTGGGGGGGTGGGGATGGGGGTGAGGGGCCGGGTGCGACTCTTGGTCGGGGAACTAGATCCCACAGGCCACAACTAAGAGGTCGAGTTCACACACCAAAATTAAAGATCCCGCATGCGGCAACAAAGATCAGAGATCCCGAGTGCCGCAACTAAGACTTGGCACAGCCAAATAAATAAATAAGTATTTGGAAAAAAGAACAATGAAAACGAAAAGCAAACGCTATCACGTGTGTCCTCATAAGCGAGGCCAAGGAGGATCTGACACCCACAAGGAGACAGCAGAGCGACAGGAGGGGCAGAGACACTGATGTGGCCGCAAGGCTGCCAGAAGCTAGGGGAGAAGGGAGTCCCTCCCCTGAAGCCTCCAGAGGGCGTGCAGTCCTCTGGAGAGAATACATTCCTGCTTTGTTTTTTGTTTTTGTTTTTTTTATCACCAAATTGATGGTAATTTATTACAGCTGTCACAGGAAATGAGCACAAGGCATAAGCCGATTATGTGCACAAATCTGAAGTGCACGGCACGACGAACTGCCACATCCACACACAGCACGTGTCATCCTGCAGACCAAGACAGAACGCCCCCAGCACCCCAGGGGTTGGGCACTGCCCTCTGCCCACCTCTGCCACGAAAGACTGGTTTTCCCTGCTCTGAACTTCACATACAAGGGACTGTACTGCACGCACTCTTGTGTGAGGTGTCCTTTGCTCAACGTAGTATCACTGCAATGCACGCATACTGGTGGGTTTTTCTTTCTTCCTTTTCGGACTATAGGACTTTAACCTGTTTGTCTAGTATCCTACGATGGACAGCTCGGCTGTTCCCAGCCATCAGCTGTTAATAAGCTGACAGGAACCTAGTTCCACAGTCTTTTGTAGATGTGCCTCCTCTGTCTCATTACCATACCTAGGAGTGGCCCTGCAGGGTTTGGTTTCATTATTTTCTGTACTTTCCAGGTGACTCAAATGTGTAAATCAGGTGTGAGAACTACTCTCCAGGCCAGTGGTTCTTGACCAGGAACAGTT